ATCAGAGACCCTGCGAGCTCTGTAACGTGGTCTTCACGGTTCCATCCCCACCACCACATTGCTGCTCCCACTGTGACGGAGGCATCTGCTACACGGCCGCAGAGCACGATATCGGCACCGGCCCGGAAGCACTCAGCAATGCCAGTGCCACCTAGATAGCACTGCGCGCAGACAGGCTCGAATCCCCATTCGTGGATGGATTTGTTGGCGGGGAGATTATAGAACGGCTCCCCCTTCTTGTACAGGTCCAGCACGGCATCTGTCACGTCGTCACCATCGACAACACCGACCTTGAGGTCAACGCCGTGCTTCTTGATCAGCTCCTTGACGGCAACGGCGAGACCGTGCACATCGCTCGCGCCGGCATTCACTGCCAGCTTTGTGCCCTTCTTCGCCAGCCATGGGATGGCCGGGTCAACCTCCTCGAGGAAGTAGGGCTCGTATCCTTTTGCGACAACGGACGAGCCGGTCGCCATTTCGCGATTGGCCAGCCTGTCTCGCTTGTCGGAGCCGCGGAGCGTCATGTTGCATTCTGACATCCAATCGCCGGTGATGACATCGACCTCCTCGTTCTTGGCCATGTCTTCCATTGCGCGCTTGCGGTCGTATACGCCTGCAGTCACCCGTTAGCCACAAGCTTTCAGTATAGTTAGTAGTATTCAGCACTCACCTCCCGAGCATCCAGCGATGCGGATGGGCCGATTGGAGGGAACTCCGAGCTCAAAGGGCCCGTCGTTGCCTCCATTGCTGGTGACGGTGATAGCGGATGGAGCCATGCTTGGGAGTGTGGGTGAGAATGGCTTGGGATGGATGGAGTTAACCAAGTCTTCAATTCTAGATCTAGGGGCTTCTAGTTACCACGGGCACTATATACCCTGCTCATGGAAATCCGCAGTATTCGGGTTATCCATCTGATACCACTTGGTACTAGCAGCTCTGAAGGGTGATTGATCATCAGCCATGGGACCCAGAGCTGCATCAACCACACAATCCCGGGTATCGATACCAGTTTCCGCATAGCATGCATTGATTCAGCCAGGGAGGGTGACTAGTCGCCACCACTAGGCGAGGTCATCTTCGGAGATATGAGAGCAATTCGACACGTATCTCCAGACTCAACGATCCGTGGCAAAACACAAGAAGCTATTGGTTTTACAGGGTTACTGATTCATGGTGGTGTATCATGCATGATGGTCTCTCCAAGGCTAATGACTCATGGCAGTGTGCAGGTGCGCGTTGGGGATGAAGATATCCTCGCCAGAAGATGCGGGGTTGTTTCACACCACCCGTTTGCTCTCGCGACAGGCGTACCAAACTTACCGCGCCAAATACAGTTCTTTCGGCTGGCGTGGGTGTCAAATGAAAGGTGTGAAACAGTGTAGAGGCAGAGCCTTGGAAACAGCAGGCAGCCAACGGTCGCATATGGTCAAGGATGATAGACTAGATTATTCTTGGCATTCATAGCAAGTTTATTGACTGATCTAGAACACGATAGGTACATTTAATGAGAAGAGAGATTTATCTATCACTCCTTATACAAGTAACCTCCAATCATTTTCAAGATAGTGTGCTTCAGCCCAGTTCTCAGATGCTTGGTGTTCTTGATGTTTTCTGCGACAGCATCACTGGGCACATGGACCGACTTCAAATACTCGGGGCTCTCGTACGCCTCGAAAGTGTACAGCTTGTTCTCCGCGTTTGGGTCCTTCAAGAGTCCATAAACTAACGTGCCATCCTCCTTATCTCTGCCTGTATCAACCACGGCTTTCCAATAAGGAGTTGAGGTCTCGACACCGCCTGGAACGTAGTCGAGTTCGGCGAAAATTACGTGCGGATCGGGGTGTGTGGCTGCGGCAGGCCTGGAGAAGGAGAACTCCTTAGATACGGGATGTAGAGTCAGGTGAGGAGGGTTCGTCGCAAAGAAGGGGATCGACGGGGCCCAATCCAGCACCTCCTTGACCGGCTGCGATTTCATGTGCAGATCAAACCCTGCCTGGTCTTTATACCTGTTCATAGTCGATTAGCCATCCAACTCGGCTCTGAAGCATGTGCGTGATCCAAACCATTCAGCGACGAAGATCGTTGTTCCATCGTCCTCTCGGGGGGCAAATATCGCGTAAACGGTGGTGCTAGGCTCCGCGTCGTGGGCTTCTTTGGCGATTTTCTTGAGGCGTTCGATGACCTATTTCATGTGAGGATCGAATCATGAGAGTAGCTGTGACCTTCGACTTTCTCATACCTGGTCGCGGACTTCTCCACCAGGAGTGAGGAGGCGAGCGATGACAACTAATTCGTTCGACATGATTGTATTGTTCTTCGGGGAGTCGGATCTGTATAGAGGAATTTGGAGAAGCACAGGCCGAGAAATGAGGGGAGTAGTGGGGGTCAGGGCACGAAAGGCAAGGGAAGAGGGTGAAACTTTATGTCCTTGTAAGGTTGGCCGATTTGTTGGTCCGCGGTTGGGGCGTGCCTTCGACCCCCTTTTACGTCACTGGCCTTATTATTCCTGAATTCCCATTGACCATGCAAAACGAGTGGTATCAAAGTATCAAGAAGGAAGTAATATACAATAAATGCCTCCCTATTTCTAACGAACTTGCTAAAAGTACCCCTTACAGACTGCCCTGTCATGAATCTCTTCATGACTTCCGAGGTGCAGTCTCGGCTTTCTAGAAATTAAATAATTCTTCAAAAAATACTCTGATTGTTCAATTTCTACTGCCCCGAACGTTTATTTCTTCTAGATTACAATTTTGAGTAGATTGTCTCATCGATGGAACAAAGCCCTGCTCTCATCTCAGCCATTTCTTTGCGAAGAATCTTGCCCGTTGCGTTCTTGGGGAGCCGCTGTACCTCCCAGACTCCACCCCGAAGCTTCTTGTAACCACTAACTTGTGAGTCTATGGCTTTTTGTATTGTTTTGAGAGCGTTTCTTCTCTCTTTGGAGCTACCCTTGGCGGAATCTGGCTTAAGAATGACCCAGGCAGTTGGAAGCTCAGTCAGTTGAGACTCGTCCCACAGTGCGGCCACTCCAGCCTCTGCAACCAGCGGATGGGAATTCAAATACGATTCCAATTCCTGGGGTGATACTTGGAAACCTTTGTACTTGATCAAATCCTTGGTCCGTCCTACGATGAACAGCCGGCCCTGAGAGTCAATCTTGCAGACATCTCCCGTGTTGTACCAACCTGGTTCAGGGAATGCCTTTTGGTTCGCCTCTTCATTGAACACATATCCATTCGTGATATTGGGCCCTCGGAGCCATAGCTCGCCCGGTCCGCCTTCTGGGGCCTCCTCATTCTTCCCCTCGACCATGAGCCGGGCCTCGATTCCCGGGAGCATGTTCCCAGTGCACCCGTCCGGTAGAGTTTCGTCAAATGTCTGATATGCGACGTATCCCGCAGCTTCCGTCATTCCATACGCCTGTATGAGCCTCCATGGCGCCCGGCTCATGAGTTTTGCCAAATCTGCCTTCTTCAATGGCGCCCCTCCCACATTCAGAATTGAAGCTCTAGAGAAGTCATGACGATCAGTCACGTCGCTCTTTGCCAAGCTCAACACCACTGAAGGCACGCCTTGGAAGCTCGTCGCCTGGACCGAGCTTACAAGCTGCGCGAACTTCTCCAGGTTGTATTGAGGCATTGCGTGATGAAACATGCCGGTGAATGGGGCCAGGAAGAGCGGCATTGTGGTCATCGCGATGTGCGCCCATGGCGTGAAAGCAACGGTCTTGGAGGCAGAATGGAATTGAGATGAGTCGTGGGCCAGAAGCTGGAAGACATTGGCGAGGAAGTTTCGGTGTGTGAGCATCACCCCCTTCGGCTTCCCTGTCGTCCCAGAAGACAGATGTATTGTCGCTACCCGAGCAGCATTGTCCTCGTAGTGAGGGACTGGGAGCGATGTATCTGAGAGAAAGTCGGCTGGAATGTGCTGGAGCGTTGACGCAGAAGGCTTTTCAATTATTGTAATGACCTTGGGAGCTGCCCACTCGATTCCTTCTCTCACAAGCTCATCGCGGGCGACGGCGATTGCCTCCTCAACGCTGCTTAAAATCTGGCCATATGCGACGATAAATGCTGGTTGACAGACGGCCAATCCATGGCCAATCTCAGTCGATTTCAGGGCATGATTAATCGGACAAGCAACGCCTCCCGTCCAAATCACTGCATGCACCAGTTCCAAGAAGTCAACGCTGTTGGGTAGAATAATAGCCCAGCGAGACTGGTCGGGAGGTTGGAGAGTCTGTGAAAAGCCTTGAGCAAGACGGCCCGCACGAGCTCTGAGCTGTCCGAGGGTGATGCTTCTGTTTGTCAGACTATCCGATGCAATGACATGCGACAGCGGGAGGTCTTTGTGCGTTTTATGAAGGAGTTCCGTGAGGTTGACATCTCGAGGGACATGCAGTTTCCGCTCTTGATTGTAAATTCTCATTGTGATCTATGAGATGATGAATGACTTGAGCGATAAGGTTGTCACATGTGAATAGTTGCGAACTTCATTCGCTGGCTTAAACACAATGCATCATAAGGGGGCTACAATCTATTGACCTCTCACGAGGCCATCCATTAGTACACCCCAGGCGTGGTCTTACGGCAATGGTTCACTAAAGCGAGTCTATGAGATTACTAGTTCGAACTACTGTTAAGGGTGCTGGAAAAACTCAGCCGAGTATATTTGGATTGGTCGGAGATGGTTCATGGCAGGACATCCGGAAGATCGAATCCGAGTCCGTTGGGGTCTGAATCATTAGCATCGTGCCAGGGTTATACCCGCCATCTGCCCAATTCGACCACTCGTTGTAGCTCCGGGCCGACTAAATGTTTGAATTCTTGGAAGATGGATTCCCATGCGGGGAAGAATACGGTCTCTTAGGGGTTGAAGTCGAAATTGAACCGGCTCAATCACTGGGCATTCAGAGTATCGTATGAGGCTGAGTTATCTACGGATTGTTCTCGAAACTATCATCATTCTCAAAATAGATTACAGTACAATCAATCAATATGGTATCCAGTCAACAAGAGAGGCCCCGGCGTCCGATCCGAATTGGAAATGCGTCAGGGGCGATCGGTGATGGGATAGACCAAGTCTTCCGCCTTGCTTCGTCCGGCGATGTGGATGCCATCACTGCCGATTACCTCGCTGAGTTCAACATTGCCTGGAAGGCCATCGAGCTGCAGACAAATCCAGAGCTTGGCTATGAACCCAACTTTCTGGAGCAGCTTGCATGGGAGAATGGGGCGGGCGCGAAAGCAGTTGCCCGCAACAAGGTGAAGGTGGTCCATGACGGTGGCGCTCTGAATCCCAAGGGCTTGGCCAAGAAAGTAGATGAATACTTCAAGTCTTTGGGTATTTCAGACGTCAAAGTAGCCTGGATCGAGGGAGACAATGTGACCGAGCAGGTCAAAAGCAACAAGTTGGTCAATCTTCAACATCTCGACCAAAACGGTATCACATTCAGCAACAGCGACGATGCACCTACACTTGCAGCGAATGTCTACACAGGCCAGGAAGGCATTGTGAGAGCGCTGGAAGCTGGGGCAGATATTGTGATATGCGGGCGATGCTGCGATGCCTCCCCTGTCATGGGTTTGGCGACTTGGTGGCACAGTTGGGGCCCCTCCGACTACGATCCTCTAGCTGGAAGTCTCATGGCCGGCCATCTGATCGAATGCGGTGCTTATGTGACTGGCGGGAACTACTGTGGCGCTATGGAAGTTCCTGAGCTCCATCATGTCGGATATCCCATCGCGGAAATCTCCTTCGATGGAAGCACCGTCATCACCAAATCTGATGGATCCAACGGCGCGGTGACGGTGGACACCTGCACCGCTCAACTTCTCTACGAGATCCAAGGCCACCGGTATCTAAACCCTGACGTGACGGCCTTCATTGGGCAAGCGAAGCTGGCGCAGATCGGTCCCAACCGTGTGAGGCTATCAGGGATAGCTGGGCTTCCTCCCCCGGAAACATCCAAAGTAGCTATTTGCCAGCTGGGCGGTTATCAAGCCGAGATATCTGCCTATGCTGCTGGGCTCAACACAGACTTCAAGTTCAATCTCATGAAAAACCAGGTCCTTGGGCGAGTGAACATGGCAGACTTTTCAACTTTCAGCATCGAAAAGTACGGCAGCTCCCTCCCCGACCCTCGATCTCAAAAAGAGTGTACTGTTCAGATTCGCATGTTTGCCCAGAGCCCCAACAAAGAGGCATTCTCCCAGTTTCGGAGGGCAATCTTCTACAACGGCATGCAGGGATATTGCGGGCTACATCTTGGAATGGATTGGAGGACCATGGAGCCGAAGCCTTACGTCAGGTATTTCCCTGCATTGATCGACCGAAGCTCCCTGCCAGATCTTTCTGTCAAGTTTGTGTCTGGAGAAGTCTTTGCTGTTCCTTCAAGGGGACCGCTGATAAAATCTGCTACTCTGTTACCAAGCCCAGAACAATCGCATCCCTCTGTGTTTGACACAAGCGATGCCCACGCCATGGTCGTCAGGCCATTGGGTGACCTTTTCTTTGCCCGCAGTGGCGACAAAGGAGGTAACGCGAATGTTGGCTTCTGGGTACGCTCAGAGAAGGCCTACCCTTGGGCAAGAAAGTTTCTGGCTTCTGCCAAGCTGGTCGAGCTGCTTGCGGATGATTGGGATGACAGGTACACTGTTGAGCGATGTGAGTTTCCTCATGTACGGGCGGTACACTTCGTCATCAAAGGCATCCTGCAAGAAGGCGTCAGTAGCAGTAGTGTCTTGGATGGGTTTGGAAAAAGTATAGGGGAGTTTTTGAGAGCAAGGAGGGTCGAATTGCCCGTAGATCTAGTGCAGGACGAGGACAACAGGAGAAAGTGTGCTGTAGAAAAGGCGAGGACGGGGAAAGCACGCCTCTAGAGATTTAACTGGCATAGAATAAGCTTAAAGTATGCAATGACTTATCTCTCACTCCGCTCACTGTGTGTAATGATGAACTAACATGGCTGTGGTCCCCTTATGATCCAGCACATGAAAGCAGTTGGGAAGCGATTATCAACCCTGACATGGGCTTAAGCCCCGTTCTCAAGGGCACGATCTCCCCCTCACGCATGCTCAATTCACTGATCTCTCACCGGAGTGAGCTACAAGTTACGAGACAATCAACAAGTTATCGCGATATCACAGCATTGAGAACAGAAGTGGGAAAACTCAGTGTACAATTGTATCACCGGTATGATAAATAAATAAAATCGCCAGCTGTTTATGACAGGAAAGAAAGGAAATTTAGTTTAGGCGGGATGAATCTCTATGCGGCATCATCCTTCTGGGCCTCGTCACGTTCTACCACCTGCTCCTGCTCGATATCACGCTTCACCTCGACAGACTCCTCCTCAGCACGCTTAGCCTGGTCCATCTCCTCGCGCTTGGCAAACTCCTCCTCCTCGCGCTTGACGAAGTCGGACTCCTCACGCTTCTCGGGCACCTCCTCCTCGCGCTCGTAGAGATCATCCTCATCGCGCTCGTAAAGCTCGTCGTCGAATTCGCGCTCGAACAGCTCGTCATCGAACTCACGCTCGAACAACTCGTCGTCGAATTCACGCTCAAAGAGATCCTCCTCGTCAAAGTCGCGCTCAAAAAGGTCCTCATCGAACTCATCACGCTCGAAAAGATCCTCCTCGTAGTCACGCTCCCAGAGATCATCCTCATCGCGCTCATACAGGTCCTCATCATCTCGCTCAAACAGCTCATCGTCGAAATCGCGCTCGTACAAGTAGTCCTCGTCGAAGTCGCGCTCGTACAGCTCATCATCGAAATCGCGCTCGAAGAGTTCATCCTCGAAGTCACGCTCGAAAAGCTCGTCATCAAAGTCGCGCTCATAGAGCTCATCTTCGAAATCACGCTCATACAGATCCTCCTCATCACGCTCAAACAGCTCGTCATCGAATTCACGCTCGAACAGCTCATCATCGAAGTCTCGCTCAAAGAGCTCGTCATCGAAGTCACGCTCGAACAGCTCATCGTCGAAGTCGCGTTCGTAGAGCTCGTCATCGAAGTCTCGCTCAAAGAGCTCATCATCGAATTCACGCTCGAACAGCTCGTCATCGAAGTCACGCTCGAAGAGCTCGTCATCAAATTCACGCTCGAAGAGCTCATCGTCGAAGTCGCGTTCGTAGAGCTCATCATCGAAGTCTCGCTCATAGAGTTCATCATCGAAGTCACGCTCGAAGAGCTCATCGTCGAAGTCGCGTTCGAAGAGCTCATCGTCGAATTCACGCTCGAACAACTCATCGTCGAAGTCACGCTCGTAAAGCTCGTCATCGAAGTCGCGCTCATAGAGTTCATCATCGAAGTCACGCTCGAAGAGATCATCTTCAAAATCGCGTTCGTAGAGCTCGTCGTCAAAGTCGCGCTCATAGAGTTCATCATCGAAGTCACGAGTATAGAGATCATCCTCGAAATCGCGTTCGTAGAGCTCGTCATCAAAGTCACGTGCGTAGAGTTCATCCTCGAAGTCGCGCTCGTAAAGCTCGTCATCGAAGTCACGCTCCTCAATGTCATCCTCAAGGGCACGGGCAAACACGTCCTCAACGGCTTCGAGAACATCGCGCTCGTAAAGATCCTCATCGCGGGTGTAAAGACCATACTCTTCCTCTTCGAAGGCTCGGCGCTCAAGTTCGCCACGGACAGCCTCGAGGACATCACGCTGGTAGAGTTCTTCCTCGTCTAGGTCACGCTCGTAGAGCTCGTCGTCAAAGTCGCGCTCGTAGAGATCATCTTCGTAGAAGTCACGCTCCTCAAGCTCGTCGTCGAAGTCACGAGCGTAAAGATCATCTTCAAAATCGCGCTCATAAAGCTCGTCATCGAAATCGCGTTCATATAGATCATCCTCGAAGAAGTCGCGCTCATAGAGCTCGTCATCGAAATCGCGCTCGTAGAGATCGTCTTCGTAGAAATCACGCTCCTCAAGCTCGTCGTCGAAGTCGCGCTCATAGAGGTCATCCTCGTAGAAGTCACGTTCCTCAAGCTCGTCGTAGAAGTCACGTTCCTCGAGCTCGTCATCGAAGTCGCGCTCGTAAAGCTCGTCGTCGAAGTCGCGCTCATAGAGATCATCCTCGTAGAAATCACGTTCCTCAAGCTCGTCGTAGAAGTCACGCTCCTCGAGCTCATCATCGAAATCGCGCTCATAAAGCTCGTCGTCGAAGTCACGCTCGAAGAGGTCGTCCTCATAAGAACGGCGGGCAAGCTCATCCTTGATGGAGTCAATCAGGAACTCGCGCTTGGCAATGTAGGCCTCCTCATCGTCAAAGTCACGCTCGAGGAGGAGGTCATCCTCATCGAAAGATCGGAGGGCGAGTTCTTCCTTGACCTGGTCGAGGAAATCACGCTCAAACAGTTCGTCGTCGAAGTCGCGGGCGTAGACATCCTCGTCGTAGTCACGCTCGTACAGTTCGTCGTCGAAGTCGCGCTCAAAGAGGTCATCCTCGTCGAAGTAACGTTCATAAAGGTCATCGTCGAAATCACGCTCAAAGAGAAGATCCTCGTCGTCGAAGTCGCGCTCAAAGAGCTCGTCATCGAAGTCACGTTCGTCCAGATCATCTTCTTCACCGCGCTCGGCAAGTTCCACAACTTCCTCGGTGCGTTCCTCAATATCCCGCTTGACGTTTGACATCCAGCCGGCGATATCTCGCTTAGTAAAACCAATGTTCTCCTCGGCGTCTTCGCTGCGCTCGTCCACAAACATGGACTCGGAGGTCATTCTCTTGCTGAGTTCTTCCTTGATAGCGTCTCGGAGAACCTCAAGCTCGCGCTTGTCGTATCCGTAGCAGACCTCGCCGGCGGCCTCGCATCCACCACGTGGGGCGAGGTATTCACGAGGCTCGATGGGAGCATCGCGCTTAGCCAGGTCACCGCCCTCCTCAACCTCAGATCGAGGAATGCCGGGGCAGGCCTCGAGAGTGCCGGTGCATGAGCGGACCGGAAGGAAGGGGACGGGAGTAGGGATTCTCGGAGCTAGGTTGGGGTCCTCCGCGGCGGCAAAGGCCACCAGGGAGGCTCCCAGACCGAAAACTACGGTCTTGAGAGAAGGCATTGTCGGTGAAACAACACCAGTGCAGGGCTAAATCAGGGATGGAACCCAGAAACAAAAGAAAACTAGTAGTTAAGAGAGGAAGAGAGGGTGGGGTCTTCCAATCAACTGCTACTCGAAGGAGTGGTAGAGTCAGTTGGTACTAGAACTCAAAAAGAAGGAAAGGGAAAGAGGGCAGATGGCCTAGGGAGCAAGAAAGCCTCTTTCCACTGCCGGGCGGGAATCGCTCTATTATAGCCCGTTGAGGTGGTGAGCATGGAGAGCGAGGAAGGCTCTGGCATGGGCACGATCTTGGGCGTATCAGATGCCATGTCGCAGGTTGACGCAGGCTCCCCCCGGAAGGATTCCCACTTGTGCTACAGCTTTATTATCCCAGCATCTCTAAATAGCTCGGAAGGGGCGGCGGCCTGCCAATCGCGACACAGGCACGCGCTCAAAGACCGTTATTTTGGAGTGGTGTGCGGCGCGGACCCTGACATCACGTAATAAAACTGACCCATGGATGATCCTTGGCTGTTGGATCCTCCAGGCTTGGCAGGGAACCATGCATGCATGTGTACGTTGGCCCATGATTTCTATTCTGGCCGCGCGCGAGCTTCATGCTGATCCAATGCCACAGGCTGGTGGGAGCCTCGAGCCTCAACCATCAGAGGATGCCCTGTCTGCACTCTGCTCATGGCGGCGTGATGCTTCACCGTGGCGACTTGGAGGCTCGCCACCAGCAATTGACCAGCTGGGGGCTGCCTGTAATCGGCTGTCCTGTGCTTACGATCTGACCCCCTTTAGGCGCCGCAGCTCGCATAAGAACCTGCACCCAAAGTCGTAGCACTTGTCTGACAGACCAACAGCTATCTACCAACACCAACAGCAATGCCAATGGCTATGCCTCTCTCGTTGGTAACACCGTGCCAGCACCAACAGTGAACAAGCCTGGCTCGGTGGTCCCTCGCGTACATGATACAGAGTGCCGTGTGAAGCAGAAGATCTCACCAGGTGGCAAATATAGAAACATGGATCGCTACGGCGAACCAAGTGGACCGTGGCCGCAAGCTGCTGCACTCGCCTGCACGTTTGGGGATGAAGAAGCCAGCTTGTCCTCGAGCAGATGGTGTTGCTGTGGGCCACGGCTGATCCAGAAGTGTTCCAGCCTCCCACCCAAGTCCAAAAATAGCCCTGCAGTCTCCGCCATTAGTTCAAACCGTCTGCCTGAGCCTCGCCAGTGTTCTCAATTTCTCATTTATGCCACACCGAGATGCCCCAAGCCGTTGGTCAGACGCTAAACGACAAGCCCAGCGCTATCCATGGATGCCTTCCATCGATCCAAACGATGGAACCGGGCTTTACGGCAGTGGTCACTGCTGACAGGGATATGCATGTATTTCTCAATGAGTATTTACAGAAGCAGTCCATCCCCACCATCTGGTGCCAAAGTTCCTGTGCAGTCTCACGCCTGATGCTGTTGGTCGCCTTACAGAGCAAGCCACCACCAACACCATGAATTGCAGACACGAGAGCCATTCGCATGTCAAAAAATACAATTGTTGGCGAGGCGTCAATCACCTTACAGAAGCGCTCCAGGGACATGGGACAGACCGCGTCATGGATTGCGATAGAAGGAAGCAAGACCTTGCAGGGGATTGTTTGATTAATTACACGCTGACGAACACCTACCGCTTCAATCAGTCCATCAGTCCATCAATCAAATCCTCGTGAATCCACCATTTAAAAAGCCGGCATATCCAGCCCACGTTGCTTCTCCTGTTGGTATCTTGCAGGCATCGCACGAGCCGAGTGCTAACGACTTGGTGCCGGATTGATCAGCAGAATCAGTGCTTGCGACCGGCAGCAGGAATTCCCAGATCAGCAGGCTGTAATTTATTATTAGGAATATTATTCAGCGGCACAGTGACCTGCTACTGGTGGTGCACAACCAACACTGAACACAAGGCCAAACAGGAGTCCTAAAAATATCAGCAGTTCGCCCGGAACAGGACGACGATGGGCGTCTATCGCTTAAGATATTTGAGGCTGATCCCTCCCCCGTTTTCAATTGAACACAGCCTTTCCCATTTCACACTTTTGCCGGCCGAATCCCCATATGCAAGGACATTGGTCCACCCACCATCCGGTCACTTCTTAGTCAGGACGTACTACTAGATGTAATAATGGGTAATGCTAGTACTAATCAATGAGTACGTACGTCGGACCCGAAGGTGCTTTATTTGGCAGCAGCTCGCCTTTCATCGCCGATGGGAAAACTATTCTCCCCGACCCCTTTAATCTCACAGCGAGTCCGTCTCTCATCCAGTCTAACGGGTTGAGGAGACATGCTACCTATCTTGAATCGAGAGGACGGGATCTATCTCCTTGTCCTCCGTGGAAATTATGCAGACTACCATGGAATAGAGGGGAACAGAGCTGTGGAAATGTTGATTTCCAGTGCATGATGACTATGTCTTCATTCGGAAGTCGCCTGTGCATCAATAATTAATGCAATCAAACTCACCCCCCACGTTCAAACTAGGTAGGAAAAAATTGCCTTCCGCTTAGGGGAGTTCAATTCCATCAATCCGATCCCGCCGGATTGGCCAGTCAACCGCCGAAGCGACCCTTGGAATCAGCACTGAGTAGACACAGTACGTATTATGCTCGAATGTAGAGGAGACGGAGCGAAGATCATGCCTGTGTATAATTTATGCCACCGCAAGGACTAGACTCTTTGAGGAACCGGTCGCGTGAGAGGCCGAAATTATGCATCCTGGCGCACTATCGATGCCGGAAAGGCTCAATGCTGCGAGCAACCTGCAAGGAGCCTGAATTCATCCCTTTTTTTTTCGTAGTCCTGGGAGAAATAAGTCCCTTTGCGGTTCAGAGGTGGCAAAGGTGATGAGTTCTCAATTCCATGCCCGTGTTTCAGAATAAGGTCGATGCGAAACAGAGCCCGTGCCGTCTCGGCGGCGAGTACTTTGTCGGTGGCGAAATAAGCCCCCAGAGGGAGGTGGTCAGAAATGAGACTTGGGTAGAGCTTGTTGTGGGAGAAAAAGTCCACTGACTGTGAATCAACACTTGAAGCAAAATTAACCACATGGTTGTATTAACCTCACCCTAATATTGCAACTCAAAGAGAATAAAATAAAATAAAATTTCTTGCGTTTGTACATCATTATTTGAATGTGATACATAATTTATATTCACGTCAATAAATAAAGGGAAGCTTAAGTGTGCTGAATGATATTTGTTGTTCGTTGCCGGTATAGGGTATGCGCCAATCGAGGGTGAATCTTCGTGCGTAATTTGCCTACCTATTTTAATTAGCCTCGGCCACTAGCTAATTAATCAGTAACATGTTTATTGGAGAAATATCTGAGCCCAGTAGTTTCAAACTCTTTGTTCCCAACTCTGGTTGGTAAATACCGGTTGTAGTTGACTAGGACAATGTCTTTCTTGATCATTCGCTCCCGTCGCATCGGGCTATCATGCACAGCAACACGGCCATTAAAATTTGAGCATTTTGATATTAATGGAGGAACTAGACCGGTTCCAATTCGGCGGTTATTGATACGTTCATCTCGAATGCGATTAGATAGGTAGATACATAACCCCAGTTGTCATATGATCCTCCACTCAAGCAGAACTACATCTAACACTACCAAGTGAACAAGGAAAAGGGCCGCGTATATTTCCCCTCGCAGCCATTGAGTTGAAATTTGCAACCAATTCTTCAGTTCTTTGACGAGCCCGAAACGACTGTGTTTCGAAAACCCACCAGGGGAAGCGTGGTTCTCAGCAACAGACTGCTGCAGATGACGCTCAGGCTGCTCAACGCCATGGCCAAACTAGCCCACACTGGATCCAATCGAGTGTACGACCCATTGGACCTCACAGGGTAAATCACACCTGCGGCAATGGGCAGCGCTACCAGGTTGTAGATGCCAGCCCAGGCAAAGTTGAACATGACACGCCTGAAGACTGCCCGGCTGAGCTGGACCAGAGTCAGGAGCGAATTGAGATCGGATTTGATGAGCACAAACTCGGCAGCAGAGATGGCGACATCGGACCCTGCGCCAATGGCAATGCCCACGTCAGCAGCAGTCAGTGCTGGCGAGTCGTTAACCCCATCGCCAACCATCGCCACTACAGCCCGACTCCGCGTCCGACCGGAGAGGTTGGCGAGAAAGCCCCCTTGCTTTTTCGGCTGGCTGCCTTGAAGATACTTGATCTTGTCGGCCTTCTGTTCCGGCAGGACCCCCGCGATGATGTGGTCCGGCTCGATGGCGACCATGGCACCCACGGCGAGAGCTGTTTTGACGTTGTCCCCTGAGATCATCCACACGTCCACGCCCCGAGCGCGCAATGCGTCCACCACGGATTTGGATTCAGGGCGGATGGGATCCGAAGCTGAGAAGATGGCGGCAGGAACCCATTCGCCATCCACTCTCACATCTCTTGCAGCCACCAACACTACCGACTTGGCTTGTTCTTTCCACACGTCCAGTGTGTCAATGGCTGCTTGGCTGAACCTAACACCGTGCTCCGTCATCAAGGTCTCGTTCCCGACGAGGATCTCAACCTTGGACAGACTCTCTTTATCGAAAAAGGTTGCCTTCATCCCCTTCCCAGGCATCTCATCAACCTGCTGCGGCGGGCTTCCCTTGACACCCTTCTCTTCACAGAAGTCGACAAGTGCTTTCCCCAGAGGGTGACTACTATTCCTTTCCACCTCACCCACATACGCCAGCAGAGCATCCTCACCCCATCTCTCGGCGCTCTCCTCAAGGACCACATGATCCACGAGCTTCAAGTCGCCACCCTCCGTAAGCGTCCCCGTCTTATCAAACACAATCACGTCGATCCCGCTGGCCTCCTGGAACGCCTCCCCGCCACCCTTGGCCAGGATCCCGTGCCTGGCCGCGAGACCGCCGCCGACGAACAGCGCCGTCGGCGCAGCGAGCCCGATCCCGCAGGGGCAGGCGATGACGAAGACCGCGATGGCGAACTGCAGC